ATTTTATATATCACAATAAACTTGTGCCAGAGAAAATGAAATTCGAAAATAATGCATGACCTGTGTATGGGGTAGAAACATGGACAAAAATATAGTCACTAAAACCAGTAAGGAAAGAAGTAAAGTCGGACTGGGCCGACTATACACTTTGGGTATATTGTACATATGTATCTTAACAATTGCATGTCAATGTTCCCTCGAAGGAACATACTCATGCCTCGATACACGCTTTTCTCTACGTCGCGCTGTTAAAAATTTAATCTCAATCAGACACCAGTTCGAAATACATATGGAAGCTAGCAACATCTGCACCAATTTCAACAAAACGAAATGATGTCATTCAAGTCTCAATCGGAATCTGAATCGATTTCCCCGAAACGTACCACACAGCATTCTACACTCAATTCAGTACGCTATGCCAAATTTCATACAAATCGAAGGATATATAGGGACTTTGCTGCACCATTTACATAAAATCGGAGACAAGTATATATGGGAGCTATACCGGAACTGAACCGATTATCCCGAAACTTACCACTCATCATTCCTGATTCAATTCAGTACGCTAAGCCAAATTTCGTGCAAATCGAAAGTTATATAGGGACTTTGGTGCACCAATCTTAAATCGGACGAAATATATATTGGAGCTATATCTAAATCTGCAGCGATTTTCACGAAACTTAGCACACATTATTCCAGACTTAATTCAATACGCTGTGCCAAATTGTGTGCCTTACCTTAAATCGGACGAAAATAGTCGTGCAAATCGAAATAAATATAGGGACTTTGGTTCACCATTTGCCTTAAATCGGAAGAAAATATATATGGGAGCTATATCTAAATCTGAACCGATTTTCAGGAAACTTGACACACGTCATTCTAGACATAATTATAGGGTCTTTGGTGCACCACTTACCATAAAACGGACGGAAATATACATGGAAGCTATATCTAAATCAGAACCAAATTTAACAAAAATTGATATACATCAATATGTAAGATGTGCAAAATTGTGTCTCAATCGGAAAAACATAGTTTTGTCCATCATTAAATCGGACGAAACTATATGTGCCAAACATGATGAGCAAATATTTTTTAAATATATGGTTAGCAAAAATATTAATGTCTGTATCAAAGTGTTGACGAGCTGAAATGAGTATACCCTCTTCGTATTTAATTTGTTTTTAGAAAAATCTTATGGTGTTCGAATGAAGTATGCAACGAATGAAACAGTTTGTGATATGTTAGCACTTTGCAGAATGAGTGGACCGAACTGACTTGATTTAAGTTTAGAAAAAAATACTACGATGAAAAATGTAAAAAAGTCGTTAAGTTCCGGACCCAACTTTTTATACAAAACCAAAAATTTATTCAAAATGTTGATGTTTTGTGGTGGAAGTACTAGAAGGAGGGAACCGATATTCCACGTCTTCAAATTTGATTTGTGGAACACATATTTCGATGTGTGTATGTAGTTTGAAAGAATGCAGTTACCCCCTCGGATAGTTATCGTGCGCACCAGCCAGACAGATAGATAGTTGTAACTCAACATCAAATTACTAAAACAGATTTGGCTCAATAAAAAATATGCGGCTTTAAACCATTATTTCGATGATGCACATTTTACGTAGGAAAGCCTCATTAGCCATAATGCTAAATAAACTGTTATTTTGTCTTCACTTTTAATCAGAAAACATAAGGCTGTACCTCATAAAAAACAAAAAAAATAATTATGGTATTTTATTACAGCCAATCTAGTAATTTGTAGCTTTCATTTAAATCCCGCAAGCTAGCACATGTCAGAATTTCCAACAGAACATTTTTCAGACATATAATTTTTGAAATTAGTATTATATTAGCAATTATTATTATTACACGGTAGCGGCCTTCTCTAACCATTTATAGCAAATAATTTAAATTTTATTTGATGTAATAAATAAACAGCACTTTTTGCTAAAGAGTTTACGTCAACTTTTGTCAAAAGTGTCAACTAAGTCCTGAGGATATTTACGCTTTGCCAAAGTTCACTCTCTTCACTGTCATGTCTTATATTTAAATTGCTGACTTGTTAGGTTTACTTAACAAACAATTTTTTTTTTTTTTTTTTTTTTTTTTTGTGAAGCATCATTGTCATTATGAGTTACAAATGACATTGGTTAAGTCATCAACATCATCATCGTTCTCTTCATCATGATTATAAAATAACCTTCAAGATGTAGTCAAGGAGGCACCACAACCTTCTATTTCAGTAACCGCCATTATCAACCAGCGTTAATGTCAACATCAACGCTTAAATGTGTTTTTCTAACAAAATCGTTAACATTAATATAAACGTTAACGTAAATGTTAATGTTTATGCCTTCTGTGCAAAGAAAAGAAACAAGAACGATTTGAATTGTTTTTATATTTCCTTGACGTAAATAAATAAATACATATACACATACATAAATGTCAATGATTGTGGCTGGTTGGTTGGAAAATTGAGAAGATTGGCGAAAAAATAAACAAAAGCTTTTTTATTATTATTCTTAAATTTATGTAAATTTGTTACTGTTATTTCAATATTTATTTCTTTAAATAAATATTTATTTATGAAACTTTGTAACTTATTGGCGAATCAATTTCAGTACAATAAATATAATATATACAGAGGGGAAAATAGCCTATAGATGGTAGAAAGGACCATCAACATGGAAGAAAAGTATCTGCAAATACATATACAAAATAATAACAAGATATCAGAAATGTTATTGGTGAAAAACATCTTTAATATCAAATCAGCAATGTAACATAATGAAATGGCATAGATGCTGAACATTTTACTATGACATTGAAAATTGTAGAGTAAAATTTTGAATATCTCAATTTTGTTCGAATTTTCTCCTGATCAAGTACATAAATACATATTGAGTTCGATAAGTTATAAACGGAAAAGCGAACTTAACATACCATCCCTACTAAGACAGAAGGTAAAATAATAAATTATTAATTGTATACACGAGTTTAGTTTCAATCAGGTAGACTTAGGCTGACGTCAGAGTGCAAGCGAGAAGCGATGCGATTCTACATGCTATAATAGTTCTTGCTATTTCAATGCTATAATATGTCAGAGTGAGTGCGGTAGAGAGCAAAGCGTGTTGTTTGTTTACATCGCCTGTTTCAGTTGAAACGTTGTGTTTTCTGACTAAAAATGGATTCGGACGAAGAATTTTTCATGTCGCAAAATGCGTTCAACATCATTTTTAAAAGAAAACCAGTAAGGAAAGTAGTAAAGTCGGACGGGCCGACTATATGATACCCTTCACCACTATGGGTATATTAAACAGGACTATTAACATCAAATTGGATGAAATAATATATGTGATATTTATCTAAATGTGAATCTACCTAGATATATCCATAAAGTATGTAAATCGACTTCAAAGAAATATAAATAGGTCATACGTTGGGCTATGTCTGTAATTCTAGAAAACGCAACTACGTAATTCTATGCTCAATTTTGTACGTTGTGCAAAATTTGATGTTAATTTAACTAACATGAGGAGTTTGATGCCAAAATATATATGGAAGCTCCATCCAAATATTAAGCGATTTCAAGCAAACTTGTCACAGGTTAGGTTATACTAATTTCAGAACGTTTTGTTCCTATTGGTTCCTTGGTGCGTCAATTACTTAAAATATGTGAGCTATATATGTGCGAGCTATATAGAAATCTGGACCGATTTTCTCGAAACTTGGCAGACATCACTCTAGGCTCAATTCAGTACGTTATGCCGAATTTCGTGCAAATCAAATGATATATAGGGACTTTGGTGCACCATTTACATGAAATCGGACGAAACTATATATGGGAGCTATATCTAAATCTCGACCGATTTTCTCGAAACTTGGCAGACATCATTCTAAGCTCAATTCAGTACGTTATGCCAAATTTCGTGCATATCGAAAGATATATAGGGACTTTGGTGAACCATTTACATAAAATCGGACGAAGCTATATATGGGAGCTATATCTAAATCTCGACCGATTTTATCGAAACTTGGCAGACATCACTCTAGGCTTAATTCAGTACGTTATGCCAAATTTCGTGCAAATCAAAAGATATATAGGGACTTCGGGGCACCATTTATTTACATGAAATCGGACGAAACTATATATGGGAACTATATCTATATTTGGACCGATTTTCACGAAACTTGGCAGACATCATTCTAGACCTAAATTATTAGGCTGTACCAAATTTCGTGCAAATCGAAAGATATATAGGGACCGTTTAGATTAAATCGGTTAAATATATATATGGGAGCTATATCTAAATCTGAACCGATTTTTCCCAATTTCAATAGGGTTCGTCCTTGGGCCGAATAGGTGACCTGTGCCAAATTTCATCCCATTCGGATCATAAATGCGACCTGTACTTTGTTTACAATTTTACATCTACAGACGGACGGACGGACATGCATAAATCGACTCAGAAAGTGATTCTATGCATATTCTCAAAAGGAACCATGGGTCTATCTCGATTATTTTTGCCTGTTACAAACATATGCACAAAGACATAATACCCTGTACCACAGAGTGGTGAAGGGTATAAAAAGGAATTCATGAAATTAATAAAAGTCGAAGAGAGAATGGAGAATTCCACAATTTGTACTCCGTACTTCGAAATCACCCAGAAAAATTTTTTAATTATACTAGAATGTCAGTAAATACCTTTGATTATATTTTGGCGAAAATTGAACACAAACTAAACAAGAATTGGTCAAATTTCATAAAGAACCCAATACTGCCCGCCGAAAAATTAATAAAAACTTTGAGGTAAAATTTGATTTGATGGAATGTGTTAATTTATTATGAAAATTTAATTAGCACAAAATTTAATGAAATTCATTTTGTGTGTGAGAGATCGGAGAAACTGGAGAGGTGCGAGGAACATATGTCATTTGACAATCGTGCGTATTTGGATAATTTTCATATTGCACACGACTGGTACTTGCACCTGAATATGGATGTGGAAGCGAAGGAAAAGCATAGTTGTAAACTATTTTTTGAATGTCAATTCGGCATAGCATTTTTCTACCGCTATCCATGTCCCTCATATACGGCAACAAACTATCGAAAAAGGCAACGTCGTCGTCGCGTTCCTTTTGGGTGTTTACCTTTTTTTCTAGCAACTGCAATTTTTGTTTTTCAATGGCCAAAATTTCTGACGTACCATCGACATAAGTCGCCTTCCTCTTTTTATTTACTTCTACAGCGTTTGACTTTTCCGAACTTTCATCGCACAATTCTACAAATGAATTTTCTTTTTCTATATCATCAGCTAAAAAGTCCTCCGTTGACGCTTGCTCTGATTCTTCAGACGGCCTCAAATTTCCTGATGATTTCCTTGGCTTTATTTGGTTTTTCAGAAATAATAAGGATTTGAAGTGCGGCCATATAATATATTTATTGAATTCCTCCTCTGAAATACCAGGATCTCCCGATCTTGCAACAGGAATTTTTTTATATTCATTTCTGAATTGGTCTCTTAAGCCTTTCCATTTTTTCTTCAATTGTTCTCCTGAAAAAAATATATATATATGTGAATGATATAATTTACAATTTCAGATATATGGCAACCGGAGTGTCCTTTACGACTTTGGCATATTCGTTCAGAATTGGTAGGACCACTATTTCGTCCATTGTTAAGGAAACAGTTATTGCTCTTTGGGAAATATAGCAACCGATACATTTGCCACAGCCTACGAAAAATTCCACTAAAAAAGTTGCAGACCAATTGTGGAACTTGTGGAACTTTCCAAATTGTGCCGGAGCAATTGATGGCAAGCATATTCGCATCAAGTGCCCATCACATTCAGGGTCTATGTTTTATAATTACAAAAAGTTCTTTTCCATCGTTCTTCAAGGAGTGGCAGATGCAGATTGCAAATTTATTGCAATAGAAGTAGGAGGTTATGGCAAACAAAGTGATGGTGGTACATTCAATTCATCTCAATTATTCGACCAATTGAAAAAAGACAATTTCTCCCACCCGATAGACCTCTTCCCAGCACGAATATTGTAATGCCGTATGTGCTTGTTGGAGATGAGGCATATCCTTTAATGGACGTTCTTTTAAGACCACATGCAAGACGCCATTGCACCACAGATAATGAATATTTCAATAGGCGACTTTCCCGTGCTCGAAAGTGTATAGAATGTGCCTTTGGAATTATAAATGCAAAGTGGCGTTTACTTTGGAAACCTATAGAAACGGACCCATCCTTTACAGATAATATCGTTAAAGCCATCTGTGTTCTCCACAATACAATTATTGATCTCGAAGGGAAAACAAATGTTATGGAAGACATGGAAAACTATAGCGAACATAATACAGCTGGAGATCAAGAATCGTATAACCCTGTAACCTTATTAAGTGGACGTATCATAAGAGATGCTTTCCGCGATTTTGTATGTTCACACAGAATATAAATAAATGTATTTACTTACTTGGCTTTTGCATGACACCTTCAATGTGTTTCCAATTATTTTCCACAATAATGCGATTGTGGTAGCTTTTGTTGCTCTTATCCCAAAGCACAGGTCTCGTGAAAACTTCTGTTATTAAGGTTTCTGCATCGATTTCCATTTTGTATTTTTTTATTATTTGATTAAAATTTGCACTTTACTTCACAAAATTTACACACAAAATGATCAATGTCATCAAAATGCGAGAAAAATGCAAAAGAATGATGCCAATAACTTATCAATAACGGTAAATAAAAAAATAAACAAAGAAAAACAAAAGGAGACAAAGCGAGTTCTTGCTATAAACCATTGCGCAACACGCTTTATCGCTCGCACTCGCTTCGTCTCGCTTGTAGCATAGCATCCACTCTGACAGCTTTTGCGCTATGCCGTAAGAAAACACACACAGAGGTTTATAGCGCCGTCTAGCGGCATATCATCGCATCGCTTCTCGCTTGCACTCTGACGTCAGCCTTAGAGTCGCTGGCGTATCATTTATATGAATCGGTCAAAATTTAATCATTTGGTGCACAATTTGCATAAAATAGGTCAAAAAATATATATGCAACAATTTCAACAAAACTCCAGAACGCAAATTATGTATGGGAGCAATCGTGGCATACACCATTTTATATGCTGCAATACAGTGCGCCGTCCATTGTATCTCGCTCTCGTTGATTATTGAGTGCAAAAAATTGCATGAACTCAGACTAAAATATATAGGCAATATTGTAAATTTTTCAACATAGCTGAGGTCGTTTCGTTTAGCATGGTGCTTAGATCATATCGATATTTTTGAAGTAATTTTTAGGTTGATATATACATTTAATATAACGAAAATAATAAGTTAATCTCCAATATTTTTATTATTATTCTCATATTTCCCGAAAATATATAACTTTTCGCGATTGTTGTAATAAATCCATTACCATGTTTCACGAAGAAATTCATATATCGACGCTTTTGGTCAATAAACATCGTAATTTAAACATTATTTATGTCAAAAAAAAAAAAACTCCATAACTTTGGCGCGCAATAACCAAAAATTTAATTGCGAACGGATTAGGAATCAGGACATTTTCCCTATATATGTACAACCAAATATTGATGTAGTACGAAAATTAAAAACAGAATCCATGGAGCACCATTACCATAAAATCGGGTATATATATATATATGTATATATGGGAGCTATATCTAAATCTGAACCGATTTCATACTTAACATAAAACATTTTAGACTAAATTCCATACCCGCTGACAAATTTCGGGTATATTGAACAGACATAGGCTCCTTGGTGTACAACTTTCATAAAATCAGCCGAAAATATATATGGGAGCTGTATCTACATCTTAACCGCCAAATTTCGTGTAAATCGAAATCCTCAGCCAAATTTTATCTCAATCGGACAAATATTCGCACCATTGGAACCTGCTGGGGCAAACAATGTCTTCTGGGCGGACTATGCATCACCATATTTAGCGGAACTTTAGCGCATGTTTATGGTTTGCGTACACTCCGAAAACCTATCAGGAAGCTATGGTAATCTTTAGACCAAAGCCGCACAAGGCAAAGTACACAACACCAAAATCATATAGGCCAATAAGCCTAACTTCATTTTATTCAAAATTATGGAATGGACAGTAACATACCCAACGATTTGCTGGAGTACAAACAGCAGTGGAAACCGCTCTTCACGAGGTGGTACACCACATTGAAAGCACCTTCGAGAAGAAAATTTTTTACTTTAGCAGTATACATTGATATCGAGGGAACTTTCAATAATGTTGGCACTGAAACACTTATCCAATTCTTGGAGAATTTTTGAGTTGACCAGGCAACATGCTAAGGAAAAGATGGATAAACTGTAGCCAACAAGACATAAGCAGCAGGGACAGAGTAGGACAATGGACCCTGCAGAAGGGATTTTATCATCAACTGTGGGTTACCACTATTATTAGTCTCTTAAGGACCTTAACCGCGGACGATTTGAACCCGTTTGTTGTGCAGACTATGTTATAATGCTTCTGAGGGGATAGAATCCTAAGGTGTAGTGTAGGAAGGCTGAAACGGTGTTAAACATTGCCTATATTTCGGCGAGGCCGAGGGGTCTGAACCTACATCCGTCCAAGATGGAGATATATCTCCTCACTGGAGTGATAAGAATAGGACAGTATGAATAACTCATCGTCGAAATCAAAGTGATAACCATATCGTTACAGAAAGTCCAGAGAACATGCTGGGACAATGAGAACAACACCAACCAGAGCATTAGAGACTACATTGTATATACATCCAAACAAAATATGAAGCGGCCGTCGCAGATTTAACACTAAAAGCTGTGAATGGGGCACAATAGGCCGAACCAAAATATATTGAGTCGGGTCGAATACTTGAAATAAGAGCAGTCACAACATGTAAAACTATGATACCTCACGGGATAGCGGAACACCAGCAAACATGTCCTGGGAGCTGTTGTTACACATATGACTCCCAGCTAGCAGAGAAGTCGTCTACCAGATCACAATACAATCTTACAAACGGAGGTTCAGGCTATAACGGAGTGTCGGAACTGGTTTCGCGCAAACTCTGGTCAGAATAATATATATATATAATGACACAGTAAAAAAGCCATAAAAACTATAACCTCTAAAACTGTTAAATACAAAACTTTATTATAATGTATAAAAACCATATATAATTTCTCGCAGAATGGTCTCGTACAAATCATATGGGTACCGAGTCACATAGGATTATTAAGAAACGATAGCAAATATACTCGCCAGAACTGCGACCGATAAACCTACAATCGATATAAATAGTGCCAAATCATTTAGTGCAACACGTCTAGAACTAAGGTCATGGGAAACGGAAACCCACAAAATTCCTTGGGATGGCGAGGGAACTGTGATAAAATAAAATCCAGACTGACATCTAACTTTATGCGCACAACAAGCCACTTACGGGTTTAAGTGTATGTTGTAAAATTGGACATGTTGTGGTGTAAACATACCTAACCTAAGTTTCACTGGTTTATTTATTAAGTACTCTAATATATATGCGAGATATAGCCTAATTTATCTCACTTTAACTCATAAAATCCAACACAATCTTTATTTCATTAGAAATAATTTATTTCTTCCACACTCCACAGCAATAAACGGAAAATCCTTTTAACAAATTACTTAAACCACAAGCGACTTATAAAGCAACACGAACGAACAGACACAGCAATGCCATAAAATGATAATTTAGGATTATGAATTGTTGTTGGTCATCAACGGCGAAATTGGAACTGCAATAACCAAAAAAAAAAAAAAAAACTGCAAAGATCAAAATGTAATAAAATATAACAAATCCCATAAAGAAGCGGCATTAGAAGTGGATGGTCAAAAGTAATAAGGGCTATTGAAGAAGTACAAACCACTTTAGATGCTTCTTCTCCATCCTATTTTACCACCTTCTTCTTCCTTTTTTTCTTCTGTGGTTTAATGTCAATGAAGACTACTTAGTAGAATCACTTTAACGATAAAAAAAGTGAAAGTGAGTCAAATTGCCACGGAAGGAAGTGAGTTGATTACTTTTCAACACAAATCACAAGATAATAAGATTTTATCAAAATTAATAAAAAGTTAGTTATAAGGAATTAAGAAGTGGATATTAAGGGCACTTTCCTTAGCTATTTATGCTTTCTATGATTAATGTGTTTTGTAGTTTTAGTTTGGCTGGAGGCAGGATGGAATCTCGTATCGTATCGCTTACGTATTTTGAGGTTGTCAATAATTCCTTATGTCCTCAGTGGATCCCAACACTTTTATTTTTATGGCCTCAAAGAAACACATCCATATATTTTTTGAAAAAAAAATACAAATTTAAAGAACCGCCATTTACAATTGTACAATTTATACTGACAGTGTAGTTTCCAAACTTGCACTTTTTCGTTACCGTTTCAAGATTCTTTTAGTTTCAATTTTTCTCGGCGTAAAAGTAAAATCAGTAATTAACATGAGCATGCATAACTTAAATAAGCATTCGCTGAGAAAACTCCGTAGTTGCTGCAACACAGGAAACTTCAGAAAGCGGCAATGGAAATTTGAGCGAGAAAAGTTTAAAATAGTTTCCGTCATGTTGTGGTATTTTTTTGGTTGGGGGGTTGTAGCTTCGTTCGATGTGAACAATCATTGCACCATTGCTTTGCAAATGTGCGTCATTATGTTGCAAAGGTAAATGTGATGCCATACAAAACTGGGAAATGGTTGCACATCCCTCTTTTGTAAACTTTAACAACTTTACAAGTTTTCTCCTTGTTTTGACAGGGGAACTTTAAAGTGAATCGATAAAGTAGAGAAATGTGTTTTTGTACCCCCTACACATGTTGTTGAGTATATTTCAAAACATGGGAATAATTTGAATTAAAAAAAGAATTCTAATATTTTACTTGATTTTAAGTTCATTTCTAAAAAAATATGGTTTCTTCAAGAATATGATTTAACCCTACGGTCAATAACCGGGTACATTTGTACCTTTTTTTGAATTTTTTAATTATGGAGATATTTGGATCAAATTTTGTGGAATCATTGTTGAGGTATTTTCACACATAATCGAAGAAAAAAATTATAAATTTTTTCCATATATATATAATTTTTACAATTTTTTAAAGTTATTACCTACGTAGATCAATAACCGTGGTACATTTGTACCCATCCAAAGATAGCTCTGTAACTCATTAAAAAATTGGACTATCTTGAGGTTTTTTGTTTTAAATTAGTCTATACTGATCTGGTCTAGATGTAGGAACTCAAAATTATATATACATTAAAATAATATATATTTAAATCCATGCTTAAATCTATCTAAAACAATCATAGTAAATTCGTTATAGCTTTCGAATGGGTTAAGCATTTTTAGATATTTTTTTATTGGGATCTTATTTAGGTGTTCATCAACCCCTCTCCATGTTGTCTAGGGCCACCAGGGCGACTCGTGGAAGTCAGAAACTACCCTGGTTTTCCCTTGGCATACAGGGACAAAAACAATGATTATTGTCCGTAATTTTCCAATTATTCTTTATATTGGCCCTGAAACTTTTTCCATAATCGAATTAGTCTGATTGATTACAAT